AAGGGTGTCTGCGGAGTGAGCAGGGTCCCTCCAGCAGGTGGGGTCCCTCGGCCTGGCCTGCAGGGATCAGGCCAAAGCTGGCTCTCCAACATCTCCCAAGGGGTCCTGGAGTGCGAGAGGGCACTCTGCAAACTTGCTGTCATTCGGCAGCGCCTGCGTTGAGCATCTGCCCCCTGGTGGTCAGTGAGCGTCACACCTACCAGCCGGTCAGACAGTCAGTGGGTCAGATGTTCACTTAGCCTTCTATACATATATGTAGATAGGGAAGTTAGTACCCCTTCACCTATTTTGCCCACCATCTCCCCTCTCTGATAACCACCAGTTTGCTTTGTGTATCTCTGAATTTGTTTCTTTTTGTTTTACTTGTTCTTTTGTTTTGTTTTTTAGATACCACATGTAAGTGAAATCATATGGTATTTGTCTCTGTCTGACTCACTTCACTTAGCATAACACCCTCTAGATCAAGCATGTCAAACCCAAAGGCTAACACAGGCCAAATAAATGAGGCAAGTTTGACATGCTTGCTCTAGATTAATGGTCCCCAATGGTTCCCCCGGGGCAGGGACCAGCAGGAAGGGGGGCAATTTGATTTCTAAAGGGGAAAATTTGAGAATGAGTTATTACAGTGAATTTTTTGCATTTTTGCGGGCCTCATATACAGTATATAAATATATATTGTGACATATTTATGCATTTCAGTTCTCTATTATATGTTTTGAAACTTTATTTGCTATTTTTCCATATCACTTCATATTATTATTTTAACAATTTCTTAGTGATGTCTTCCTCAGTACTTCAACTGTCCTTTCGTTCTTTGATTTTTCTCTTTCATGGATGCCATGTTCTTTAGAAGCTTGTTTAGACCAAGTTAACAGCCTTTTAGGCTTCCTCCACGTGAATAGGAATTCACTTTTTAAGTAATAAGAATTATATGTCACAGGAGGGACATCAGGATTTTAGAGATGCTTAGGTGGGGCATGGCCCAAAAAAGGTTGGGAACCACTGCTCTAGATCCATTCATGTTGTCATAAATGGAAATATTTCATTCTTTTTATGGTTGAATATTTCACTGTATATTACATTCATCTACAAGGGCACTCAGATTGCTTCCAGATCTAAGATAATAATATTATTAGTATTATTATTTTAGGTAATAACAATGAAATATGTTATTTTTCTGGGCTTCCTGATGTTTGATATATCTGTAAGTTTTTGTAAGCCTGTGATTGGTTGCAATTTTTTTTATTCCAAATAAATATTCACTTCCAGACCTAATTTTGTGTTCATAGTTATGCATTGTTTTTCTAAAATACGGTTCCCAAAATTGTTCAAACTCCACAAAACCTGGACCTTTAGCTGCTTGGCTCCATCACTTCCAACTCAGCCCCTGTGAGCCTTGCGTCATGTTTAGGAAAATGACGTAAGCAATTCTGCTGTTCTCCTTCCACAGGATTGCGCCAAGAGAAAGATCAAATAAACTGATGAGCATCAAAATACTTTGTACACTCCTGACTGTTAAAGAACTATGAGATTTTATGATTATCATCAATATTGAAATATTGAGAATGTACTGAAAAGGGTGGGATACAAGGAAGTACATTAAGGAAAAAGATAAATAAATTACCACACTTTCCTCAACAAATGAAATCTATGCAGCATGACTTGCTTTGAGGGGAACATGGGTAGACTGGAAAGTACCTGGAATAAATCAAACTGACCCTCCAGGATGGAATCTTGAAGGGATGCTTCACATTAATTAATTTATTGAAGAACAAGTGACAGGATAGGAAATCGGGGAGAAGTTACTCTAATAGGTGGGTCCGACTCTTCTCAGCGAGGGGATAAAGGATGGGAAGCTGGGGGACCAGGGTTTGACTACACGATGGCCCGAATAAAGGAGGCCAAGAAAGACAACCATGCTTATGGATATACTAGAGGCCCGTTGCATGAAGAGATTCGTGCACTAGGCCTTCCCTTCCCCTGGCTGCCGGCACCGGTTTTCCTCTGGCATCCAGGACCCAGGCCTTCGCTACTCTGGCCAGAGCCTTCTGTCTTCGCTCTACCACTTCGTGCTTATGTATGCAAATTAACCACCATCTTTGTTGGGTTAATTTGCATACTCTCCTGATTGGCTGGTGAGCATACCAGAGGGACGGTCAGTTTACATGTCTGCATATTATTAGGTAAGATTGCAGATTACTGCTGGGAGTTCTCTTTCCAATCCATCCCAGCAGAGAGAGTAAAAGATCAACAAACCCTCACTTTCCGGTAGGGTTACACCAACTCAATAAGGAGACTTGGGAGACAGAATGGGGTTTTTCTTTCTTTCCCCTGGGAGGATGCTGAATATGAATAATATATCATTCATAGACTTAACATGAATGCACTAACAATAGAGCATCAAAATACTCAAGGCTTTATGGACATATATAGATAGGGTGAAAGTGAAGAGAAGGGAAAAGATATTCCAGGCAAATGTAACCAAAAGACAGCAAGGATGGCATATTTATGTCATATAAAATAGACTTTCCTTCAAAATCTGTCACAAGAGCCATGGTTTGTGTGACTCAGTTGGTTGGAACACCATTCTGTACACCAAAATGGTGGCAGCTTCGATTCCCAGGCAGGGCACATACCCAGGCTGCAGGTTCGATCCCCAGTTGGGGATCTCTCCCTTCCTCTGTGTAGAATCAGGTTTTATTTAAAATCTGTCATGTCCAGCTGGTGTGGCTCGGTGGTTGAGCATCTACCTATGAACCAGAAGATCACAGTTTGACTACCAGTCAGCCCACATGACTGGGTTGTAGGCTCAAACCCCAATGGGGGGCTTGCAGGAGGCAGCTAATCAATGTTCTCTCTCATCATTGATGTTTCTATCTCTCTCTCTCCTTCTCCCTTCCTCTCTGAAATCAAATAAAAACATATTTTAAAAGTAAAAAAACAAATTAAAAGATTTTTAAATCTGTCACAAGAGACAAAGACTGTCACTATACAATGATAAAGGGGTCAATTCATCGAGAGGGTATAACAATAGTAGGTAGATATGCACCCAATAATGAAGCACTTAAATATATAAAGCAAATATTAACATATCTGATGGGAGAAATAGACAAAAATACAATAATAGAGATAGTAGAGAAATTCAATGCCCCGTTTTCAATAATGAATATATCATCCAAACAGATAATCAGTAAAAAGAAAAAAAAATTAGACTTGCACTTTAGACCAAATGGACCTAACAGAAATTAATTCTCAGATGTACACAGGACATTCTTCAGAATGGATCATGTGTTGGACCACAAAACAAGTGTTTTTTTTTAATCAAAAAGATTGAAGTAACAATAAATATCTCTTCTGACCATAATGGTATGAAACGGAGAAAAATTGGAAAATCCACAAGTATGTAAAAATTAAATAACACATTCCTGAACAATTAGTGGGTCAAAAGATAAATCAAAAGAGAGATTAGAAAATATCTCAAAATAAATGGAAATGGAAAATACTAACCCTTATGCAGCAAAAGCACTTCTAAAATTGAAGTATTTATACAATATATGACAACATTAAGAAAAAAGAAAGATTCAAATAAACAACCTAACTTTACACTGCAAAGAACTAGAAAAAGAAACTGCATAAAGTCAACAAAAGAACAGAAATAATAAAAATGAGAGCAAAAGTAAGTGAATTAGACAATAGAAAAGATCAATAAAACTCAGAGTTACTTTTTGTAGAAGATAAATCTGAGAAACTTCTAGCTAGACTCTCCAAAAAGGAGAGGGAGGTCAAATGAATTATGAATGAAAGAGGAGGCTTTGCAACTAATACCACATAATATAAAGATACATAAGAGACTACTGTGGACACTTACATGCCAATAAATTGTAATCTTGAAGAAATGTATAAATTCCTAGAAACATACAACCGACCAAGACTGAATCATGAAGAAATAGAAAATCTGAGCAGACCACTAACAAGTACGGAAATTGAATCAGCAACCAAAAAAATTTCAATAAAGAAACACTCAGGACCAAATTGCTTCACAAGTGAATTCTGCCAAACATTTAAAGAAGAATTAATACCAATACTTCTCAAACTCTTCAAAATTTAAAAAAAAAATATTTATTCAAGTGATTTAAGAGAAGGAACATACAGTGGAGTGAAAAAAAAAAAAAAAAAAGAGCTGCTCAGAAATAATCCCGCATACATAAGTGAAGTTATCATGCAGCTGAATACAAGAGGAATCCATCAATAAATGGTCTGGAACTATTGAAAAAATGAACCTTGACCTTTATTCCATACCTTACCTAAAATAATCAACCTCAGGTGATTTAAGAGTGTTAATGTGAAAGTCAAAATTTCAAAAGTCTTACAAGAAAACAGAACCAAAGTATCCCATGTTTCCAGGTAATATAGTAAATTCAAATCTTGTTTCCACTACATAATACATGAGTGACCTTGTACATATAACTTAACCTCAGCATCTCCTTCATCTGTAATGATAATAATTTTGCTTACCCTATTGAGGTGCATGTGAAAATTCAATGATTTAGTATGTATATTGCTTAAAACAGTGCCTAGCAGGAAGAAAGTATTGTACTATAAGGGTTAGTTACTATCATTATTATTATTATTGTGCTCATTACATTCTTTCTCTTGCACCAGGATCAGTCTCTCCCTTGTTGTAGAAGGTTGGAGACAGGAAAGGAAGCAATTCTTTTTTGCCCTGATGGTTCTACCCTCTGTGGTTAAATAATATACAGAGGCTCTAGTCCTTTAGTTTCTATGGTTTCTACATGGACATGGGACTCACTATCAGGGGTCTAATCAGCCTGGGACCTTCAGCTTCATAGCTGGGTACCCAAGCATTCACTGTTCAATTCAACACCTAGTAATGCCCAGTCCTGGCCCTTGGGGTAAGTGGACTCAGCCCTCTCAAATATCAAGCCCAAAATACAATATCAGTTAATACCAACACTCTGCTACCCGTTGCTTGCTGCACCATGAAGCCTGCTGAGTTGAGATTTCTTCTAGAGCTCTTCATCTTCATCTTACTGGCTACCCCATTCATGGGTGGTGTTGTTAGACTTACTGAGCGGATATGTGGAGATCTCAAAGGTACAAACTTGAAGTAGAATATAAATTCAAAGGACAATTATGAATGAGGGAGAAAGTAGTGGGGGGAAGTGTTGGTTCAGGAAGTTCCTCCTTTTGTGTCAGTATCCACAGACATTTAGTCCTTTGATTCAGGACACTACTTACTCTAGGGGTCTCGTGGATGTCTGATGAGAAAAAAACAAACTAGGGTGCCAATAAGTCCTTTGCAGTGGGGTTCTCTTTTATAGGGGCTCCAAAGATTAGAAGTATTTTGAGTAAGGGGTTTCACGACAAACTTCAAAGGTCCCAGACCAATCAAGAGTATGTATTGAGATTAGATGGAAAGGAGGTTGGAACTGAAAAAAAAAAAATGAGGCATTTTCAATATCTGGGCTCTGGACACATAAAGAACATCTGGACAAATGGTCCCTGTTTAGAGGAGCTCACAGGGTGGAGGTGAAAGGCCATGAAGATTTCGTCTACAGGTGATGTGTACAGACTCGGTGCTTCCAGAACATGGGAGGTGGTACAGTCTACACTGGCAGAGAGCCCAAATTCCGGCCCTGCCACTTAGCAGATGTGCGCCCTTGGTTGAGTCGATCACTTACTATCCCTTAACCTCCGTTCCCCTTGTGTAAAATGTACATCAAAGAAATGCCTGCTTCAGAGGATGTTTGTATGAAGCGATATTATGCATGTAATTGTACCTAAATAGCTACTTTTACCAGAGTAAACTCCAAGCTGGCTACTTGGGTAAGATAAACAATAATCTCTGAGTTGCCAATACAACCTTCTTGTTACTAGTTTGGCCATTGCCTATGTGACTCTTGTCAATAAAAACAGAAGGTTTGTCTCTGGGAAGGCGACAGGGGGAAAGATGACAGGATCTGAAAGCAAGAATATCACCCTCAAGGTTATTCATCTTGATTTGTATCTTGCTTTGAGGACAGCAGCAGGCACAGTTACCTGAAATTTGGGGTGTAGATAGGATAATGAATATATGAAAACTGGAGATTCAGCATTCTCAATTATGTGTCCTATGTGTGCAGTTAAGAAGAGAGAAAGATGAAGGTACAGAAAAGCAGGAGATTGTGCTTTGATAAAATAAATAAAATGAAATGGGAACCATATAACTTAGCACAAGTTTCTGGCAAAAGCTCCTTTTCCACTGCTCACTATTCCTCCCAGTCACTGCCAAAACTTGGAGATGTAATCAACTTCCATGTCCAAGGGCAACCTTACCAAGCAATCCTAATTCCAAGAGAAAACCAGATGTCCTTCGGTGATTTTGAATATGGGAATATTTCCAGATTAATGTGAGGAATTTTTAAGGGCCCATGAAAACAAGATCGCTTGCTGAGAACTAACAAATTCCCCCAACTCAATGAGAACCTCTCGTGCAGATCCCTGCCTTATGGACCTGAATTCTGGCAGCTGCTATGAAGTCCATTTTAGATATTTCTACAACTACACCTCCAAAAGATGTCAAAGTTTTGTCTTCTCTGGCTGTGATGGCAACCTTAACAACTACAATCTTAAACTAGAATGTCAAATAGCCTGTGAGGAAGAGTACAAAGTACCGTAAGGAATCCAATTTTGTCCTTTGTCCTTGGGGAGGGGAAAAGGAGAGACCTGGGACCCCAAGATAAACCCTGATTTGGGAAGGGGAAGAGGGAGAACTGTCTTAACCGAAAGGTTTAATAGTTGGGTTGAATCTCAGGGTCATTTGTCATTTTGCAGTTAGGACATCAAAAATCCAGAGAGAAAATAATAACCACCATTTATTGGACAATTACCCTTTGCCAGACATTGCACTAAGCAATTTACGTGTATTGGTCCAAATTAAGATTAAAATCGCCCTAACGTAGGTGTGTGTTCTTATTTTTATGTGGCAGATGAGGAAACCACACCGAGCTGAGGTAACTAACTGGCCCAAGGTCACATAATTAAGTGGCATAAGAAGGTTTCTAACCAGATCTGATGGTCACCCAGGACTTGACCATCCTACATGCACAAGGTTACCCAATCCTAATCATCATGCTTTCAGACCCCTAACCTCTCCATAGCAACATGGTGTTTTATACAACTAAGCTGGCTCCCAGCCCACAGTTGACCATTCCCCAGTCACAGGAACTAGAAGAAGCGCGAGAGGGCTATGGTATGGCTGATTCCCAGGAGAGGGAGATAGGGAGTGGCCATGGGAGTAACTCAAAAGCAGAAATTTTGTCCTACGAATTTGATACTCCTAGTGAATCTTTGTAGTGCCTGGCACATAGTAGGCAATAACTACGTTTTGAGAAAATGAAAGAATGAGAGATTAACCCCTGGAACTGAAAGAGATGGCATCCTTTAGGTTTCCCCTGAGATAAAAAATGACAAATTAATCCATGGAGACTTTCCAAAAGCTATAAGATAAATCTGTTGTGTTGTGTTTTGTTTTGTTTCTGTGTTTTTGCTCAAACAGGGGCCATTTAAAGCCAAAGCAGGTTGCTGACGCTGGAAATGCCTGATACACCATCTGAAGACAGACATAAGAAAATTCTGACAAATGTTATGATCTTTGTAATATTTCCTTGAAACGCCCGTCTGTTTGCTATTCTCCTGACTTTAGTTTTGACTTTCCTGAGAAATAACTATATAACCATTAAAATGAGAGAACCTTGTATCAGCCTCTGTCCTCTCTGAATATCTCTCCCCCTGCCGTATGCAGAGTTGGGATGTCACCTGATCCTGTCCATTAGCTCCCTTCTCCCTCCTGAACTATTCCTCACATTTGCACACAATAGTGACACTTTCAGATGTGACCAACAAAATTTGCATAGGTTTGTGCCAGGGTCCAACCCCAGCAGGTCCAGGGGTTCCCAAAGGCGTAGACAGAGTCAGCGAAGAAGGAAGGACACGGAGACAGCGTTCAGTTGATCAGCAGCCAGGATCTCCAGCCAAGTTCTGGTCTGGATCTCCAGAGAGGTTCTGCTGTTTATTGTCTTGTTACATCCGTATTTATACCAGTTGATTTTAATCCTGTCAATTTCTATTACAAAGGTTAGGGCGTTTCTTATCTCCATTCCAGGGAGTAAAGATTATGTAGCTTAAGCATGATTGTTTGTAGTTAAAGTGATTACCCGCCTGGCACTTAGTTAAGGAGTTTCATCCCCTCCCTGACTTCAGGGAAAAATCCCTACCTGGGGAAACAACCTTTCTCAGAGAGGTGACCTTGGTTAAAACACACAGCGCTAAGGGGAGCAAACATATTAAGAACAGTATGCTATATATGTCAGGTCCCTTGAAACATATGCTGTACAGATGTTTCTTTCCTGCAGCGACTGTATCAAGCAGCAAGGATGGACCGGCTTCCGGCAGGTTTGTATCACCTCCTCTTTCATGTTGAGCTCATTAGTGGAACCAAAGTGCCATACCTGTGCTCAAATCATGAGGAAACATTGGAAAAATTCAAAATGAGGGACATTGTACAAAATATACAGTCCCTTCTCTTTTAGCACTCACTGAATCCTGCTAGGGACTTCTGCAACCAGTGTATAAAGTAGCAAGTTTCTACACCAACAAACCCACCTATTCTAATAAAAGCCTAGGTGGGCCTCGCATGCGACGTCATCACAAAATGGCCACCACAAGATGGCCACGCAACAGCAGAGGCGGGGCCCTGCAACCGCTCCCCGTGGTGAGGCCTAGGGGTCCCATGGCTTCACGTGGTGCGGAGGAGGCTGGTCCAGGTGGAGGAGGTGGGTCGCTACAGGGGAGGGCAGTTGGGGACAATCAGGCAGGCAGGGGAGCAGTTAGGCATCAATCAGGCCAGCAGGGGAGTGGTTAGGGGGGGATCAGACTGGCAGGCAGAAGTGGTTAGGGGCAATCAGGCAGGTAGGCAGGTGAGCGGTTAGGAGCCAGTGGTCCCAGATTGTGAGAGGAATGTCGGGATCAGGCCTAAACCGGCAGTCGGACATCCCTCGAGGGGTCCCAGATTGGAGAGGGTGCAGGCTGGACTGAGGGACACCACGCCCCCGTGCAAGAATTTCATGCACTGGGCCACTAGTCTATATAATAAAAGCCAGGGGGCAGACACTCAACGCAGGAGCTGTCCCCTGGTGGTCAGTGCATTCCCACAGGGGAGCACTGCTCAGCCAAAAGCTGGCGAGCGCAGTAGCAATGGCAGGAGCCTCTCCTGCCTCAGTGGCAGCGAGCCGGGTGTTAAGGAGCAGCGAGCAGGCGGGCAGTAAGGAGCGAGGGGTCCCGGACTGTGAGAGGGCTCCCAGACTGCGAGACGCGCAGGCTGGGCTGAGGGACACCCCACCCCCAGTGCAAGAATTGCACCGGGCCTCTAGTCTTACATAAAGCAATAGGTAAAAACGGAAAAATTTTTGCTTAATTCTACAACACAAGCAAGGAACAATACGTTAGATATTTGTCCTATACCTTATAAGGCTATAGCTAGTTTTAATAACATCCCTCCTCCAAATACATTCCGTATTCCTTATCTTTGACCAGAACTTCTATTTAACTAGTTTCTTTATACATAGGGTAACCTAATTGAACATTCTAGACAGAAGAAAATGAGCTCATGCTGGGACTTCTTGGGTAGGTTTTAATCTTTCCATCTTTCAGGCTTTCATGCCTTCTAACTTCCGTAAAACTTTACCCATTAGGACGACGCGTTATACATGCTCTAGGGCATCAGAGTCCCTCCAGTGAAGCATCAACCATATCCCCCTTTATGGTCAGGCTCACTCACTTCTGATCAAATATAACCCTTCTTTTTCTGCTCTACCAAGAGAATTCCCATGGAGGCCGTAAGTGTGGATTAAGGTATATGTGATAACACAGTGAGAAGAGGCACAACTGGGAGTGAAATATACCTACAAGGAAATTGCCGGGTCCAATACAGACTCCTTATTCTCTTGATGGATTGCTACTAAGTACATGGGTGCCTCAAGCATTTCTCCAGAACCTTCCATTATTAGTTTTCTACCAGATAGAGCAGAAAATGCAACAGCAAAAAAATAAAATGAAAGTTAATGACCCTCCTTGTTTGCTGCCTCACATCTCTTTCATCTAAAGTTTCACACTCTGTGCCTTCCACTGAAATAGAAAATCTTTCTTTCCCCCAGAGACAGAAGGGCAGAACATTTGCTGCCATATTTACATATGACAATAGAAAGACACTTTATACAAAACACCAAGGTGTCCAGCATCCTAGGAGATATTTATTCAAATCATTATAGCTTGGTCCTTTTTGATTCAGTTCTACTAACATCCATTCTTATTATTACTGGGAGCTAGGCTAGTTAGCAAGTTAGACAAAAACATTGACTCTGTTGGAACCAAGGAGCAAGGAATCTCTAGACTTCTTCCCATCTGGCCCAAAAACGAGGAATAAACATCAAGAATAGGAACTTTCATAGATAAATCAACTAGAAAATCCGAAATAGATCCAAGTAAATTAAGAATATCATTAAAGATTTTTTAAATAAAATAGTATTTTTTTTAAAAATATGATAAAGTTAGCATTTCAGATCATGGGAAATTGTGATATATTTCTCAACAAATGATAATATAATTTGTTATTTATTTGGTATAATAGTCAAATTAGATCCCTACCTCCACATCATATGCAGAAATAAATTTCAAATATATTAAGGTTGTAAATGTAAAACATAAAATTATTAACTTATATAAGAAAACATTTTGCTAAATTTGGAGTGATGGGGGACTTTCTAATAAAGGCAGAAAACTCAGAAGCCTCTAAATGTGTTTGGGTATTTATGAATGACAGATTTAATTAAATAAATATCTATAATAATAAAAGCATAATATGCTAATTAGACCAGATGGCCAAACAGCAGAACCACCACCCGGACGACCTTCTGGATGAAGCCTGAACTGTGAGGGCTGAGCCCCTTGCACAAATTTCATGCATCGGGCCTCTAGTATGTACGTAATTACATAAATGTTAAAAGTACTCAATTGAAGAAACCACAACAGTATTCAAGGACAAATAATATCCCAGAAGAAAACATTTACAACAAATGTAACTATTAAGACTCAGAATTTATAAAGTATCTTGTAAATCATTAAGAAAAAAAGATATCTAAAGGCAAAAATAACCAAAGTGTAAGAAGAGGTAATTCACAAATTCAACATGCCAATACCCAGGCTAAAATTTTCCAATCCCCACTATTAGGGAAATGTAATTTAAAACAATGGTCTGCCACTTTGCACTCATTAGATTTACTACAAAAAGAAGTGTTGGCAAGGCTGTGATGAATTGGGTAATATCTGCTGAATTTTATAATGCTTACCTTTGGACAAAAAATCCACTTCTAAAAATGTATGCCATAGAAATAATTTTACATAAAGATTCATATTTGCTACTGCATTATCTGTAATTATCTATCAAAAACAACCTAATTGGCCATTAATGCAAAAGAAGTTAGCTTAGCTGGTGTAATTCAGCGGTTGAGCATCGACCCAGGAACCAAGAGGTCTCTGGTTTAAGAAGGCCCACTGGGGAGTGTGCAGGAGGCAGCCAACCATTGATTCTCTCTCATCATCGATGTTTTTGTCTCTTCCTCTCCCTTCCTCTATGAAATCAATAAAAAATATATTTTTTAAATATAAAAATGTGATGATACGTTGATATAATCCATATAGCTATTTTAAAAGCTCAGCAAGATCCATCTGCATAGCATGATTTCAATTATTACTTTGTTATTTTTAAATTAAGATAGAAGCTCTTTCAATGAAACCCACTTAATGAATTAATTGACCTCCATCTTCCATATAAAATATACTACTGAATTGTTCCCATCTTTGGAGAGATAAGTAAATAGATGGCTAAAACAGAATTTACCATCAAAAAGGAGATTCTAGCATTTAGAGAAGCAAAGAATACTGATACCTAAAGATAGCTCTCTAAGCATGTGAGGAGAGGGAGGTTGAAGATTGGGTGGAAGGATTAAAAGAAGTGACTTTCTTTACTTACTCTAATTCAATAAAGACAGCGATGTAGAAAACTTTTTGTTTTTCTCTAATACTTTTTTAAAAAACATTTTTATTGATTTCAGAGGGAAGGGAGAGGGAGAGAGACAGAAATATCAATGATGAGAGAGAACCACTGATTGGCTGCCTCCTACACACCCCCTACTGGGGATCAAGCCCCAGCCCGGGCATGTGCCCTTGACCGGAATCAAACCCGGGACCCTTCCGTCCGCAGGCCGGCGCTCTGTCCACTGAGCCACACCGGCCAGGGC